AGGTTGGAGAAACTCTGGAAAGCAGGGCGTCTTGGCAGAGGGCTGAAATTTCACATCCAGTCCCTCTCTCTGGTCTCACTGGCAAAGTTTTTGAGCCTAAGAACCATGGATGTCAGCAGTGGCATGGTGTCCAGGTACTGACCCTTAAGGGATAAAACATTTACTTTGCCATTGTGGACTTCTGGTTGGGGGAGTTATTATGTTTAAATTAAACTTTATTTTAAAGTTTGTCCTTTTTTTTGCAAGCCACCCCAAGCCTTGTTTGGAAGGGGAGTGCACAGTCACATTTAAGGTGAAAATATTGCATAACATATTGCCCCCTCCCCCACCGCCTATAAAAATAAAATAAACATGACTGTTACCAATAGTCTAGGGAAGTTCAAGATCCCCACTTTTGTGACAAAGTATTAGCAATGCCTTTTGTGTTACACTTAATAGGAATGTCTTCCAGATCATAACCCTGAAAAGATCCACTTCAGCTGTGTAGCATTGATATTTTACTGTTGATGTATGCAGGCCAGCGATGAATGTGTATGCAGTGAAATGTCTCCTGAATGCCTATTTTTTTTTCAACTTCTTAAAAACCCACACAATGGCTAAATATCCCTTTTCAACTGCTGCACAGTATTTCTCCCTGGGGAACAGTTTTTGGCTCAGGTACATAAGGGGCTGTCCCTCCCCTCCTTAGCATCTGCCTACATTGACACTTTTCCCAGCCCTGTGGCTGAGCGTGTTGTAACACCTTACAATTAGTCCATAAGAAAGGCACTTATAATGTGAGTATTCCTGCATAAAAATGTGAAAATTCCTGCTAAATTCCCTTTGAATGTCTCAAAGTTAAGTCATTTTGGGTGAGGATTACCTCTGAGTCTTGTTACCCATCTTGTGTAACACCACTCTGCTCCATGGAGATAAAACAAACCCTTTGCAATCCTCCAGCATCTCATTATGCACTGTTCCCACCCAGCCTCACATACACAGCAGGGGTAAAGCCCAGGCATCCTGGCTTCTAGCCTTGCCCCTGGTTGCAAGTTAGAATTGTAGAAATCAGAAATGGTATTAAGCCTTAATGCGCAGCTGCTCAGAGCACTTTCTAATGTTAACATCACATAGCATTCTGCAGCTTTTGTAATGCATAAGGGTAATGTGTAACAGCATCCTGAGTGATACCAAAAATAGTTTATCAGGCCATATCACATGTTACACTTAGCATGTGTTAAATGCACTTAAAATATAACACTAGCCAAATCTACATAAGATATGGACTGCTTACTAGCTTGTTACTACTACACAGTAACATTGCATGGCAGGAAGCGTGATGCAAGGCTACCGTGCAGTAGTAATAAGCTACTGTGCAGTCAGTGTCACCTGAAAGTCTTTGAACGTTGCTGCTGCTCAGTAACTGGTTATTGCACAGTCATTTAGTATTTGTATACACAAGTCTTACAGCATCATATTCATTAAATTCTTCAGATCTGGTAACAAAGTTTCTTTCCTGGAAATGGCTGTGGTTATGGACGTGTTCATCTGAAGCCCTTCCAAAAGGGAAAGGTTTCAAAAGGAGAGCTGCTGTTTGGAAGCATGCAGCAACTGCTATGTGTGGGACTTCTAGTTATGCTCAGCCCTGGTTAAGATGAGAGAGAGCTTGGGAGGAAAAGCCTCAATAACTGCTAAATGATCAAATGAGAACATGCATCACTGACAACTGAATGACCTAATAAGAAATGTGGAAAAAAAAAACCCCAAAGAAAAAAAAACCCCAAAACAAACACTAATAAGCAGAGAGGTTAAGTCAAAAAGGCTGTGTAAAGAATAAAGGAAAAATTAATGAAGATAGGTGCTGAGATAAGAGAAGACCTTAAAATACCAAGTGTGCAAGCCTGGTAAAAAAAAAAAAGAGGAAAAATGAACTTCTCAGGAAAAGGTCAGATAAACATTGTAATGAAAGTTGGTTATTTCAGAGATTAATATAGGTCACGCAAGCCTTCAGGGTGTGTAACTAATGCGCAGCATTGCTACCATTGTCCTGGGAAATTTTGTTGACTTGGGCTAATTTTTAAACAGACCAGCTAATGCAGTATCCAAGTGACCATAAACCTCTCCAAGCTTTATCCATCCAACCAAAAATTGAGTCATTCTTTCTGTGTCACACATGGGATCCAGCACACTGCTTGTGGCCAGCAGCCTCTTGCAGTACACAGTTCCCAGCAGCCTGAACATTGAGAATGATGATCAAAACACTACCCAAAACATATCAGAAGAACAATAGGTTATAAGTTACATGTGAACAAGCCAATAATGATACAAATGTAGCAAAGCTAGTCCAATTTTAAATCTGGATGAAACAGTGTTAAAGTTTTAACATGGCTTTCAAAATGGCTCCATATCTTTTGTGTGTGCGTATTTTGTCCATTATCAACCTGTTACAGTTCATCTTGATTAACTTTCCATACAGTGGTCTACCCAAAGGTATCCTGGGCACATCTATATGAGACACTTAGTGTGCATTAGCTTAATAACACGGTGCAGTATTGTAGCAGTTATTAACCATGCTAATAGCCTACTGCACTGTGTTATTAGGATAATGTGCAGTAAGCATCACAAAATAACTATGTGCTGCTGCTACTGTACAGTAACTCTATTTACTGTGCATTCAGCTAATACCTCTTATTAGAGGCAGGCATGGCTGGTGAACTCAGACGGGTAAGGGGGCTGAAGTCACATGGGGAGAGGCTGCATCTGGCTGGGAGCGGGAGCGGGGGTGGGGTGAGGGGGTGGGTTGCAGCTGGCCAGGCACTCCAGCTGGG